CAAGAAATACTCGCATGCGAAAATGACACTAGCTTAATCAACTAGCCGGTAACATCAGCCGTGCCTTCGACACACATTTCACTGATATATTTCACCAAACAAGACTCCAACTGAAAACGCACTTGAGGCTGCTGATCGACACTCAAAACAAAGGCACGGTGTGCAAGGATTGCCTCGACACGTACGGCAACAAGTTGTTGAATGCACTTTTCAACTGCTTCGCTAAGCGAGCAAACGAACAACCTGCCAAAGTCACTAAGAAAGAAATGCGAAAGCAAAAAAAGGTCACACACTGCTAGCACGAAGCAGAATGCAGCGTGTGACTTTTATTTACCGGGCAATTATGAGCTATAGACTATGTTATTCCTTTCCCTATGTTTTGTTCTTAGTTCCTACCCACGCCGCGAAAGCAAATAAACAAACGTGTAACGTGCAGCTAAAAAAAAAGACGGATTTTTTTTTTTAATAGTTTTGTCGTGTTGCTTTGGCTTTGTTTGTTGTACACTCAACACCAACCGCGAGCACTACCTGCTGATTTTCAATGCTCCTACCCACGCCCCGTGCGATCGTCGTTGTTGAAGGAGGTCTTTGCTGGGTGATTTGTGTCTTTGTATCATCTGCTAACTTTTTTGTTTCATTCGCCGTTGTTCATGACTGTTTCCTATTTCTTTTTATTTTCGTCTGAGATGGGGACCCCATCTTTTCTGCAAAGTTCGGAAAGTGTTTGCGCAGTCATTTTTTATCGTTACCTTTTGTTTTTTGTAATTATGCAGAGGCTGTTGCGCTTACGTTTTAAGAATCATCTATTCAGGTGAGAAATTGTGACAACGCAGTTGGTAACGGATAAACAGTAATTTCTCACGATGTAGTTCGAGTAGCTAAACGTCATTTTTCCGCTTCCCAGATGCGCTTTAGACGTAGGGTGACCACCTTCCTTCTAGCGAAATGCGGGACTCGCTGACCCAAGGGGGGGGGGGGGGGGGGGGGGGGGGAGGGAGGGGGAGGGGGGAGGGAGCGAGGGAGGGAAGAGAGAGAAGAACGGTATTATATTTCGACTGTGTTAACTGCAAAAAAGAACTTAGTGCGCTGTCGAGCTGGTGAAGTTTATCATGATGCTTTTTAATCCGAAACTGGGGCAAAAGGAGGAAACTTTTTTTTTCTCATTTTGTCTCAGTTCCAGGTTTAAAAAAAACATAATAGAAATAATAACTATTCGAAAAAATTTATCAATACACGCCACGAAAAATGGCTCTGCTTACACACTTCATATCTTGTCTTGTACGAAAGCATAGTATAGAGCTGCACATTGTATTGCGGTAATTAGGCTCAAATAAGTTTCACTCTCAGTGATATATTTTACGTTGTAATGCCAAATATGTTAATAAATGTGTCTAAGTTGAAAGCATAGTAAAATCGACTGCAGCAGAATTCACTGCATCAAAAGGATAGAAGAAGCAGTAAATCTTTTACGGCTTGTTTCCTGTCGATTCTTATTTTTACCAACATGTTCCTACAGAAATTTCGAACCTTTTGTTGTTGTTTTGACCGTTGTGAGCTGCACTCTTTTTGCCTTGTGCGATCGTCTTCACTGGCAAACAAATAAGAATAAAAATCTTATCACAGCAATTTTTTTTTTTTTTGACGCAGCGCGATTTGAAAATAATTAAAATAATTTATTTTCAACTTTTGGCGAGCAATTGTTTCTCGCGATATTTTGCCTATCGGCTATCAATCGATATTTTGTCACCAAAGAAAGAGAGGCACAACGGCGCAAGTGCGTCAATCTCCTGCAAGAACGGCAGTCGCTTCCCGCAATGCTTGGATAGAAAAAATATGTACCATCGCGAATCGTACGTTTACCAGCGACCTCCGCGCTTCCCCGTGCCCGGCTGCTCGGCAGCCCAATGAGATGCGCAGTGAATTTTACGGCAGCGTGGAGTACGGGACATTTTGAAGATTTGGGAACTTCTCGCGGGACGCGGGGCACGAGCCCTCAATGCGGAACAGTCCCGCGAGTCGCGGGACGGGTGGTCACCCTATTCAGACGCGTGCGATCCTCCTGAGTGGCGTTTGAAACCTCTAAGTAAACTGCTCTATCTTGGTTTCTGCGCGCGTTGTTATTTGATTGTCGTCGCGGTTGCGATCACTGGATTCCGCGTATTTGGTGCCAGCGATGAAACGAACTCGGAGAGTGCAACCACTCATGGAGTGCCGGCCGAAACGAACCCGCTCCATGCTGCGAGTAGGCACGCGTAGGCACGAGTGCCGTGAACGATAACACCGTAAGAAACTAACTTATGAACTGGCCCACCCGCTGCATCAAAATAAAAACGAACTTTGCGCTGGGCTGGGGGGCACGTAGGTAGTCACGTGATCCTGTTGTCACGTGACTGCGCTCTGACGACGTGCTAAAACGGCATCTCGGGACAGGCCCCCCGCAACTCTCTCCCCCCCCCCCCCCCCCCCCCTTTTTTTCCGCTACGCCATTGTGTAACGTTGGCGTTGCATTGGCCACTAATCCCGACAAAAGAAACACTTGCAAGTTTTTCCATTTTGATTCTACCTCAGTTGGCAAGGCTCCCTTTTTTTTGGCCACCTAAGTTCCCTAGATGCCTCTGGCGCTGCGATATGGCTGCTTTGACCTCCTTATCCCACCAGCTATTTGGTTTGTGTCTTCGTTTTTGCTGTCCTATTTGTTTAATTCGGTGCTTCTCTAATTCGCTTTTAAAGATTCCTATTAGATCCGCATATGCCCATTCCCTTTCTGGTTGTTTTGATACTATGCTCTCAATGCTTTTAACTACTTTTTGTATTTGAGCTTCACTCAGTTTAGGTTTACCCGCTCGTTCCTAGGCTTGCTGTTCTGGTTTGGATGCGCCAAATTCAATCTTAATACGTTTGTGGTCACTCCCTAAGCTTTTTGTTCCTTCCGCATCTATTTCCATACTTCCTAACCTATCATACAGCTTGTGGGACATGAGGCAGTAGTCGTCACCGTCAGCGCGGTGTGACAGGGTTGTCCAACAACAAATCGGACAACACGGTGGCCGGGCGGCAGCAACATGTTGCCGGACTGTTGTTGTTGCCGCGATGTGACAGGGTCGCCGGCAACACAATTTCTTCGTGTTGCCGGATAAAGTTGTCCAACTGCTGCCTCAGTGTGACAGGGACTTAATGGCTGGCTAAAGGCTTCTGTATGGCTTACCCTTCGGCTCTCCTAAGCCGGCATGCAATACCTGTCTTTAGCTTTTCCTTTGATTGCTTTAGCCATCTATAGCTTCTTACGTGTCCTTCTAAAGAAAGCTCTGTTGCTCATCCTACCGGTTGCTATAGCTGCCTATGGCTTTTCCTTTTGTCTTTAGCAATTTATGTGGTATGTTAAAGAAGGCTGTATGGACTTTCTTAAGGCTCTCTTTAACCAGCACAGTCTAAAAAACAATGTAAAAAAAAGATTTTTAATTTTGGCTGCGCACTGATAATTAAAAACGAGCGTCTTGGTGAATAGATAGGAATACTTGAAAGGATAAAACATCGAGGACGGGGACAGAAACAGAACTTCTTTCATTGAGCAACAACATAGAATGTTGTTACTCAATGAGAAGTCCTGTTTCTGTTTCCGTCCTAAATGTTTTATCATTTCAGGTATTCCTATCTACGCACTGCTCTCCACTGAGGACGAATCTTTCCTTGTAATTGCGCTTTTGAGTCGATCCACTTGCTCATGTCGCCGTTAGAGGACTTCCGTCTTTCAGTCAAATAACAAAATCTGTTTTAGCACGTTTTCGACATGTGAGCACGCAAAGCAAGTACAGCGAGGAGCATCGCACTTCTGCGTAGTCCTGCGCAACGAAAACATCGGGAAATTTAAAATACGCTGTTGCCAGTGTTGTCCGGCGCTCTCTCCGTCTAAACAAAACCAAAACAACAAAAACAAACACTCGGAGCGCAGCGAAAAGCAGCGACCGCCATTAAAAAGACGCGCATGTGGCTAGACCTTTCCGTCAACTTAAACTTGAAAAGCTATAGCAACATTTGTTTCCGTCTTTATCACGGCCGCCCCCACGGAGCTCCGCAAATTGGGAAGGGAATGCATTAGAACGCATAAGATAAAGCGGCAAGTCCCCCGCCCCTCTGGTCTGGACTCTGGGACCACGGAGAAGAGAGTTAGCGCGACTCAAACCGAACAGCTCTCGATAGGCGGTTTTCGGGTGGAAAGAAAACGAATTTTCAGCCGCCATATGTCCTGGTAGTTTGGCTCTCATATGTCATGTACAAATTAAAACTCTATAGCGAGCATCAATACCCTGCAAATACCCGTTTAATCAGCGCATGCATGAGCAGGGGTGATACCTTGGTGTTTTCAATATTTTTCATCTGTACTTTCGTCGGATAGGGTTGACTTATACTATGTTAACGTTTTTGTACTGAGCATGGGAATTCATTTCTGTTTGCTCAGCGGGGACTTTGAACATTTGTATTTCCTTTTAATGAAAAGTGTAGAGAGTGAGGATTAGGTTTTATTTGAAACCATACTATTGCAACTTGAAGTGATTTCCTTTTGAGTAGACTTTTGGAACTTGCGATTTGGGTCGTTAAATAGGCGCATAGTTCTGTCCACGTCAGACTTAAGTTATGCTTCTTTTGTAGGCTGTGCCTTCCATTGCAAATCCATAGGACCCAACCTAGCTGCTATCAGGACAGTTCTCAATACCTGTCATTCACATACATTGCAATTACGCTGTTTGCTTTTATGTTATGGGTTCGATTAGTTTTAGATTAAAGGACATCTTTGAGAACAGCTGTGGAACGTCACGTGGACATGCTTTTTCGTCGTGCTATTTTTGTATCTAAAGAAACAAGTCTGCACTTGTAGCCCCATTGAGTTACCAGCTCCAAGATTCACTTCAACTGCTACAAAACCCTGGTTTTGCTATGTGCTACGAAAAGTTAAAGCTCGTTTGCACCCCTGATAAAAGTGTCGTCACATCAAATGACTTTTGGAATATTGTTTTATTTTATTGATTAGCAGATGCCGAGTGGTGCACGATCCATTCCTCTTCCGTCCTCTGTAAGAGTTCTTCCGCTTGCTTGTTGCCTGCAAGTACGTGTTGCCAGAGATGTGTGCCTTTATTCTTCATAACAATACCCTTTTATTTATTTATAATTGCAGCATTATGCGGGAATTATCCAAGGGTAACTAGGGTACATTTTCTCGATTTTAAGGTTACGACGGTTTTTAGTGAACTAAGTGTCTCTAAGTTACAAAGTGTCCGTTTTTTTAATGTTTTGTGTAGTTTTGCAGATATCCTGCCTCAAAGTTTTGCTTAAGGGTATACAGCGAAACGGAAACTATACCGGCTCGAGTGTGATGGCAACCCTTGTGATCAGCTGCATGGCGCAAAACTGCATGTATGACGCAAAGTTCGAGTTGCGGTACCAGAAAACGAACAACAGTCCTAGTCGCAAGAGCAGGTCCGATCAGTCAGGTAAGGGCTGTTTTACTGCTTTGGTTCGCACCATATCAAACAACTCTAGTAAATATTAATACAAATTCCTAAAGTTGCCGGCCAAAAAGCGAGTTTGTCGCGATGAAGGCAGGCTCAGAACGAGCCCCCACTTATCTTCTGCGAAGATCTACCATATTGGTGGTGTGCAATACAAGCTGCAGAAGCGTTGTGGGCGCTAATCGTAAGTTCACGCTGAGCAGGATATCAAATTAAACTGGCCGCTGGTGAATGCCACCTTCGGCACCGCGACGCGCTTGAGATAGCAGGGAGTCAATAACCTCCATGCGCGATCGCCGACGAGCACTTACATACATGTAAGTGCTCCCGACACACAAACACACTCAAAAGAGTGTTGGGACCTACAGTCTTGGGTGTTTTTGAATCATGTTTAACGTACACCAGATCGTTGCGCCTTTACATTTATTTCACTTCCAAACTACGCGCACTAATATATGATATAAGCAGAAATTGTTTGCCGCTAGGGGGGGCTAAAAGCGCCATAGAAAGACGTAACAAAGGAAGTAACAGTACAAACAAGGAACACTGACTACGAAGAGGACACCAGGGGGGATATTTTGCACGTTTTGGACTCCCAGGAGACTAGGGAGAAGGAAGTGACGTAGGTGTGAATGAACCAACGAGGTATCTTCTGCAGATACCGTCATCAGCGACTCCACCAATCAACATGCAAAGAGCGTTGTTGACGTCACTTCCTTCTCCCTAGTCTCCTGGGAGTCCAAAACGTGCAACATAGCCCCCCAGGGCACAAGGTTGCTTGACAAACAGCCAAGTTGCTGAATGCCCGCTGAGAAGCTGATGATAACATTTTTAATACAAGTTGAAGAGGGGATCGCGGTTTCCCATTAGTATAAGATTTCGGCAGTGCTGGTATTTACTCCCAGTAAATCGATATCAGTCATTTACTTTAATTCGACTTTAATCGAAGTTGCCGTTTTAAAGGGGGAGGGGGGAGTTCACAGCGATTGGAGACAGGGGCGGATTTATGGGTCAGACCCGGTGGGGGGGGGGGGGGGGGGGGGGGAGAGAGAGACTCTGCAGAGATATGACGTTACGGTCGAAACGTTGCCCGGTCCACTTGTTGACCCAATATTTGCTATGTGACCAAAAACTAAACTTTTGACTGGTGTATCAATGATTGTAATTTTTAAAAAAAGTTGATCTGGGGACCTTAGGAGGGAGCATTCGTCGTCGCCTCCCCCCCTTTCCTCTAAATCCGCCCCTGACTGGAGTTGAAGAACATGAATACATGAATAGCAAGTGCCGCTGCCCAGGATTTCTCCACAAAAAAGAAATTACGAAAAGCAGTCTGCTCCACAAATGTATTCAAAATCATGTTTGAAATTAATGAAACGAGCAAAGGCGCACGCTGGCTGAAATGATAAGGCACCATTATCCGTTTTCAGTATTATAGGGAGCAAAATAATATTTAAAAAATCTTAACTCTTGTAGGTAAAACACGAATTAAGAACGTAGTTTGAGGTTGAAGTATTTTTAGTTTAGTCAAATCGGCTACGTGATTTGAATCCCAAATTGCATCCGTCTTCTAACGGCTTCGCCTTCCTCTCCCTCTCGACCCATGTACCTGCCCCCCTTTGTGTGATGCGTGTGACCCTTATTTGTTTCTTGCCGTTTATTTATTATTATTTTTTTTATCACTTGAAGAAGGGCGTCCGCCCGAAACGTTGTGTATTCCTTTCCGTCCACGTTATTGTTTTTTAGAGTAGCACAATCAGACATCTTTTGCGATTTCGTGTTCAGGATCATGGTGCTCGGCAGCGCCCAAAATTTCTTGGATATGGTAAAAAAAAAGCAAAAAAAACAACAACAAAAAACGACACCATAACAGAAAAAACGAAATCTATATAAAATATGCATTTGTGGCACAAGTAGTTGGGGTAAACTCCTCATAACGCAAATATCATTCTTATAAAGCTCTGGTCTCGCATTCGAGGCACTTAACATAACCTGCCTCATTTCTTCATCCGAAACGAATTCACATTTAACTCGAATTCTGCTCGCTTGCCTCCATTCAGTCAGCTACTCTGATATTGTTAGTTTGTTTTGTCTTTGCAACATAGTACAATTGTAATAAACATATTAAAAAAATCTAAAGACTTCTTCTGTTCTCTTTTTAAGATCTTCTTTTTTTATGGGTAACTCTGAAGGGTGCGATAATTGTTTGATGTCTTGAATGCTCTTTTTATTATTGCAGTCTCTCTACTTTTTTATCTTTATGATGGCACCATTGATTACCTTGTAAGCGTGCCAAGCTTGCGGGTGTTGCTCCTTGGCGGTTCCGAACGCAAGGATCGGCTCCTAAAATCGAACAGAACAGTGCGTGTATGCATTTGTTCAATGACAGCACACATTCGAGGGCCGTTCGAGAATTCATGAGGCTGCCTCTGTTACTCTTTACAAGGGCAAAGACGGGCTACGCTGTGCCAGTGTTTGCGAAAGTCGCACGTCCACGTGTCTGAACCTGCAGTTGGACCGCCGTAGTCTTCAGCGTTCTGTCAAAGCGAGTGAAACAACTTCATACACGTCGTCATGGCAAATGAAGACCAGCTGCCTGTGTGCGGTAGAAGTGTACAACTGAATTTCGTGTGAAGCATAGAAAAAGCTGTTTAAATAAAAACAAAAATGCACGGAATGAAGTTTTTTGTCACGCTGATGTGAAAATGTCGTGGTTGCAACGCTAGAAATACTGTCACAAAATGTACTTTTACTTTTATTTTGGACTTTTCTAAATATTTTAGTATGTTTATAACAGGAGAAAACTGTGCAAAAACCACACACAAGGACAATTAGACAAAATTCACAAACACCGCGCTGATTTACGACTTCGTTTTATTTCTCATTTCCAATACTAGAAGCTCTTATAAAAGTTTCAAACAGGCAGACAGGACAGCGCCTGTCCTGCCTGTTTGTCTCTACCGTGTCCTTGTCTAGCTTCGGTGCGCTGTTTATCACCATGTTCCCAAAGGATGTGATAGTAGGAATAGCAAAATCGCTTTTAACTTTCTTCAGAAAAATGCTTGGTATGTGTAGCAACGCTAGGCGGAAAGTAGTGGTAATACCCTATCTTCATAACATTTCCTATAAGATCAAGAATGTGGCAGCTAGGCATAAAGTTCTGTAGTCTGCTTGGCCCATTCTAATCTGTCTCGCTTGTGTGCTGCGATTGAGAGAGCAAGAAGTAAACGTGTAATGTGTGCAATCAAATATTGTTTCTAATACGTCGCACGCAGGGTCAGAATCCTGTACTAAATCTTTTTTTTTGTTTGTTTTGTTTCTTAGTTGATGCGTCAATGTTGGAGCTAGGGAACACGTTCCGGCTGTCTTTGAGGTGTGCGCTATCGGCACACCTGGCAGTTCATAGCACCAGATGTGTTTGTATACCTTTGTTTGAACGCATTGAAATCTTGGCAAGACATCCCCAAGAACTGCCTAGGGAAATTCATAAGGCATATTACATTGGCCTATGCGGTCCCGATCTTTGCGTTAGTGTACAGTCAGCTACGATGTGCAATGAAGAGTTTCAATTAATTCGTAGAATGGAAACGTATGACAGTTGAGTTTCAGTTTTTTTTTTTTTAGATATTTTGGAACACTTTGTTTTTATATATTCGAATGGTGGACTGAAGAAGTTTCCTGCTATGAACACGTATTTTTCAACATTGTAAAACAACATTGGTGAACTTTCAACATTTTGTCCTACGTCTCGTAGGACAAAATTATGAAAGTTCACCAGCTCGCTTGCATCGTCTCTGCAATTTCTATCATGTATTTCTCTTTTTCTTTTTTTCCGCCCCACTGCTTCAGTGTATTGAAGAAGACGGGAAAGAAAGCGAAGTCTTGAGTCAACGCTGTTTGTCTTTCTCCCACTGGTCCTTTTTGTTTTTCCACAGCATACCCCTATTATCAATATGCACCGACTAGCCCAGCTTCAAACGGTACTACAGTTATAAAAATATATTGAACGTAAAAAATATGCCACTTCAAAAAAGAAAAATATCCAGAGCCTGTAGAGTCATCTGATTCTTAATACAAAAGACAGTCTCAATGCTTTTTAATAAGCCCTCGTATTTCGTGGAACGAATGGAATATACAGAACCCGATGTACCGGGTAAGATCGAAGAAATGAAACCCAGTTCTCCGGCCGGCAAATGCCTCGAAAGGGGAATTGACGTCATTCGAAGCCCTCGTGTGAAGTGCAAACCGCTTAATGGATGATAACGGCGCCTGCGAACAATGCGATGAACGTTCCTTCTCCCCGCATTGCAGAAAGCTACAACTCAAAGAGTGTCACGATAAAAATGAGAAAGTTTGAGCAGATAACGTTACCTGAATCAAACGATACAAAAGAAAAAAAAATGTGTTCATGAGCCGACGTCAACCTGAACCTAATATTCATCAAACCGTAATCTGAGATTGTGGGCACCCGTGGCTTTGATTAATAAAAAAAAAAAAAAAAACTGTGGCTCCAATGCACGCTGTGAAGGTGGTTAGACAGCGAAGCTGTAAACGACACCCACAACGATTACCCATTGCGACGTCACTTGAAAAGCGTGGTGACTTCAATACGTGATTTCTATGCTGTTGGGTACTTTTCCACTCGGAGTAGGTTACGCAACCGTAATCTTTACCGGGAAACACGCAGTGAGAAGGAACGTTCTTCGCATTGTTCGCAGGCGCCGTTATCATCCATTATGCGGTTCGCACTTCACACGAGGGCTTCGAATGACGTCAATTCCCCTTTCGAAGCAGCTGCAAACCTAATCTTTACCGGAACACGTGGGAGGCTGTTCCTATTCTTCGCACGCGCCTTATCATCCATCATGTGGTTTTGATGCTTGTTTTTTTTTTTTTTATTGAAACGAATACTGAGCTGTATGCTGTATGCCTGATTTCAAAGGAGATATGCTGCTTGCCTTCAATTGTTCGCCGGAAGTTGTTCGCTTACAACGCCAACGACACGAAAATTTCCTTGGATGGTAGAGGTATACAGCTTCGCTGTAAAAAAAAACTGCCCACTTAGGAATACCACACTTTTCTTACGGAATAAGTCTTTTACCAGTGAGATAATTGCTACAGGCACTCACACACTCATATTTTGGTGTGATAAAAATTAGTCTTAAGTGGACGTCGGCTCATAGATAATTTTTTTTTGTATCTTTTGATTCAGGTAACGGCATGTGCTCGAAGTTTCGCATTTTATCATCACCACGAGTGTCCTATTCTCGCGGAGTTTCGGCTTTCTCCGTGGCGTAGCTTATTTCTGCGGGAACAAAAAAAAAAAAAAAGATTTTACTTTCTCGATCGAACCCTATGTATTTGGTGGCCGTTTTCACGCACCGTGTGAAAGTAAGAAGGAAATCAGGTGCGGGTTCCCCTTCCAGGCGCAGAGATGGAGAGGGGTGAGCCCCGCTTCGTTTTGTTCGTTCACGCCGCAGCCTGCGTGAATGGGAAACGATAAACTTTTTATCTGCCACAAAAAATTAGAGGACAAAAATTTACATAGCGTTTGGGAACTGATCAGAATGTTACTGAACAGAATGTTACAAAAAAACGTTAAAAGGACCCTCAAAAAAAAAAAAAAAAGTCAGATACATTTAGTGTTTTGAGATTGTTGTCCCTTTAACAAAAATACGTGTACCGTATTGCCTGGGGACAAACATAAAAAGATTTGCTCAGATAGTCCGTATCTGATGCGTGATTCGCTCGCAGTGCCTAATTGGAACGTAAAAATTATAGCACACCTTGGCGACTGCCTGCTGTATTGGCTTACAGAGACGCTCGTGTCATACATAAATAAACCATATTATGCTTTTCATTAAACCCTTCACGTCGTATCGCAGTTAACGATCTAGAAAAAAAAAATCATTGCACATTCCGCAGCAGTAGATAGTGCGGACCGAGTAAAGTTTCAACTTTTAAACATGTACAGTCCGAAAAACGACACTCGATATGCTAAGAAAAAAAAAAAAAGTGCCTATTCTGTATTAGAAAACAAACAAACTTAGTGTTTTTTTTTTGTTTTTTTTTTTATTTATTTGGCCTCCGGGATAACGAATGACATTTTTCTTCTTCTCTTTTTGTGACTTTGACGCGGCGTAGTTATAAAAGCACTTTGAGAATAGCGCCGAAGCAACACCGTAGATAGAAAAACGTGAATTTTCTATGTCGCCTAATGAGGGCCGGCGAGGGTCAGATTGAAGACGAGAACGGGGCTAGAACCCGGGTCCTATCCAACTGGACAGGAGTTCCGGCACCACGCTGACGCAAACACACGTGTCTAATTTGCGCCTCGCGCTGGCCCTCACTAGTTGACATAGAAAATGCAGTACTGCGGCCTCGCAATCCAGGAGGCTCGAGCCACCTATACTCGCGCTGTCACCTTAAGATAAGGGATGCTGAACCGATATTTGAAATCTCATAATTATTGCCCGAGCAGGCTTCACGGGATGGTACTGTACCTAAAAACGATATTCAATCCGACGGATGGGGCCCGAATTATTGTATTTCTTGGAATTAAGAGCGAATCCTCGGCCGGAAACCGCCGGCGCGAGCGAGTCCTTCTGAGAGCAGGCGTAGCGGAACTGACGTGCGCATTCTCGGCGCCCCCAGCGCCCCTGGTGCCTTCGCGCATTCTCCTCGTTCGTTGGCCTTGATTCTTCGCTCGGCGGCTGTCTTCAAAGCGGCTGGTACTAGTATCACGCGGGAAGAGCCCGCGTGGTACTAACAATAACAAACGCCACCCGGCTTAGCGCCTGGCTTGGCTTGGCTCCGCCTGTCTTTTGAGGCGAATGAGAATGCGCACGTCACGAAGCGAGCTTTCCACGACGCTCCCCAGGGGTCGCGTAAAATTGTATTTTTCGTGTTTATTCAATTTTGTACGCCTTCTCGCTCAAAACAACGTCATTTAGAAGTAAAGGACATGCTATGTATGCCATTGCGACCAAGAATTTTCACCCAAAATTTCGTTTCAGCATCCCTTTAAGATACTGAAAGCAAGTTTTGCGCATTGTTCGTGCGCCACGAGAATTTAGTTAGATAGCAACTTTGTTCAAACATATGGTGGTGGGGTGCATCAGCCGCCTCGGTCCTATACACCTTTCCAAAAAACGCTCCTAGGCCGCCGCCATCTTGCTGATGCTGATGCGGCTGGTGCGACTCTCGCGCCCTCTATGAGCTAGAAATTTTCTGCCACTCTCTGGGACTGTGAAGACCCGTTCAGCGCGGTTCTCTACGTACGTTTTTGCGGTTTTTCATTCGACGTTTTCTCGCCTCTCTTGAAAGTTTCCACTTATTTTTTT